TTTTAAAAATACCTTCCAATAAAAGAGGTTCAATGTAAAGGAAAATCTAAAGAAATAAGTTAATTTTGAGATGGAAGTTACCTCATTATATGGAACGAAGACATAAACTTCTTAAACAGTTCGATGAAGAACAATTAAACACTGAATTCTAAATTTCACCATGGTAAGAATCACTATTATCTAAAAAACAACAAATTGCTGATTAGTATGAAGGATAAAAGGATCCCTCAGAAACTATTCCTGGGATTAGTGTAATCATTATGGAGATTCCTCAAAAAATTAAAAACAACTAGAGAAAATGGTGAGAGGAGTGACATCAGTCCAGATGCATTTGTATTCATAAGCTGCTTTGTTAAATGGCAATTCCTTTTTACTACTTAAAGATAATACAAATATTAAGCAATTAATTTTTATTCTTTTTGGGGGGCAGTCAGTCATGGGGCTTGAATTCTGGGCCTGGGCACAGTCCCTGAGCTCTTCAGCTCAAGGTAAGCACTCAACCATTTGTACACAGCACCACTTCCAGTTTTCTGGTGGTTAATTGAAGATAAGAGTCTCACAGACCGGGGACTGGGAAGGTGGCTCAGTGGTAGAGCGCTTGCCTTGCATGCCTGAGGCCCTGGGTTCGATTTCTAAGGACCACATAAGCAAAAAGAAAAAAAAGGCAGAAGTGGCGCTGTGGCTCAAGTGGTAGAGCACTAGCCTTGAGCTGAAGAGCTGAGGGACAGCACCCAGGCCCAGAGTTCAGGCCCCACGACTGGACCAAAAAAAAAAAAAAAGAGTCTCACAGACTTCCCTTCCTTGGCTAGCTTTGGACAGTGGTCTTCAGATCTTAGTCTCCTGAGTAGCTACGATTATAGCATGAGCCACCAGCACCTGGCTTTAAATTTTTGGACATATGCCTGAAGGAATGTAAGTCAACATCCAATCCATATGTGTTCACACCGAAGTTTATAGTAGCACTATTTACAATGGAATTAGCCTAGGTGTCCTTCAACCAATGAACGGATAAAGAATATCTGGGTTGTTGTATATAGAATTATTCAGCCACAAAGAGGAGCATAACCATATCAGATGCTCCTTCTCTTTGTATGTGTTGAGGAAAGATCACTAAAAGGATCATTTAAAAACTTCTCCACCCAACCTAGAAAATCTATATTAAAAGACAAAGAGAAAATTTATTTTTGAAAAATAGCTAATTATTATTTAACAATTACCAAAGAAAACCTACCAAAAGATTGCAATTATATTAAACACATGTTCTCAAGCAAAATAACTCCTCATTCTAAACTAAGAGTATTAGATTTACTATTTGTTGCACTTAGTTCATCCTAAATTTATCTAGTGATTTGGGTGACTATTCCACTTAGTTCATTGCCTTTATTTTAAAAAAAGAAAAAGAAAAAAAAACAGGCTGGGAAGGTGGCTAGGTGGTAGAGTGCTTGCCTTGCATCCATAATGCCCTGGGTTCAATTCCTCAGCATCACATAAGCAGAAAAAAAACAGAAGTGGCGCTGTGTCTCAAGTGGTAGAGAGGTAGCCTTAAGCTGAAAAACTCAGGAACAGCGCCCTGGCCCAGAGTTCAGGCCCCACGACTGACATAAAAAAGAAAAAGAAAAAAAATACCATCACATCTTTTTGACAAGGATGATTTGACAATTAGAAATAAAGTACCCAGTAAAGCTAAGCTCTTTCCTTCATGTAAAAACTGGGCAATTGAGCACAATCTTCCATGAGGATTACAGTTCTAAAGAGACTTTCAGGAGCTTTGGAAAAACATCCCTGATTTATTAAAACAACAACAGAATGATAACTTTTATACATACACACATGCATAAACACATACTGTGCATATATATCCATAGATATAGCATAGATATAAACAAGAGAAGAAAATAATTTATAACTTTCCTAAACAACTACTCTAAAAAGAAAGAAATGCTACTCAATGCACCAAGTAAAATTAATTATTGCCACTTTTCAATTTCTTTTTACATTTAAAATGCCAAGTCCAACTTATTTAATCTGTCTGTGTCTGGATTTCCCTATTCAAAACCACATCATGGACATATCACCGAGGGTTGTTCTTTCATTTATGCACAGTATTTTTTGTTTCTTTGGTGGCCAAGATACACAAATGACCAATGACCATGAATTTGCCTTCAAAACAGCCCAGTGTTGCTCCCACTCCTGGAAAAGAAATGCTATTCTTTTGCTTTTTCTTTTTTCTTTTTTGTTGGTCATGGGGGCTGAACTCTGGGCCTGGGCACTGTTCCTCAGCTCTTCAGCTCAAGGCTAGCGAGCACCCTACCACTAGAGCCACACACCTCTTCCGGCTTTTTTCTGCTTATATGGCACTGAGGAATCGAACCCAGGGTCTCATGCATGTAAGGCAAGCACTCAACCACTGAGCAACTTCCCAGCTTCAGAAATGCTATTTTTATTATGTTCTGCGTTTAGAGAAGGACTTAAGGAAGAAAAGGAAGTGACTTATTCTATCTCAGAAGCTAGTCTCACTCTGCTCCAAAGCTTGCAACTTGGGGAAGATGAAAACAAGTTTGAAGACACTCGACACAAGCTCTAGACACTTGATTTGCTGTTTGTTTTCACTTCACTTCCTCCTTCTATTAAAATAATTAAGTCTCAATTAAGCCAAAGATAACTTCTGAGACAATGATATGTATTAATTGTAGAGGGAGAGAAAAAATTGTACTTTAGGGACTGAGATTCTACAGAGTTTGCTTCTCTTGACATGGACACAATTGAAAAAATTAAAGTCTGATAGTTTAGGAAAGCCAAGAGCTTCACACATCGGGGTGGTACAAATAGGACCTGGGAGGCCTCAGCTTGCCAGAGAACTGACCTACGCTTTCACTGCACCACAGCTACTAGGTGAGTAATCCTGATAATTCTTTGATTTATTCATAATGTGCCATTCAAATTGCAATCAGAAACATGAATACTAATTTCTCTTTGACTAAACCAGAGTGTTGCTTAGAGGCTCTGAGAGCCTTAGGACTTTCATTCTTCTTCTTCCTCTATAGCTTACAAAGCAAGTCCCTGAGGCCAGAAATGCAAAGGAGGCCAGTTTCTAGAAATATGATTCTAGAAATATTGAATCAATTGTTTGCCTATGTTCAGGATCAAATATTAATCATAACAGTGCTCTGTACTAGATCTTTCAATAAAGTTGCCTCTTTTCCCTCTTCAAAGAATCATTTTTTCCATGTTCAATGAAAAATTATTTTTTCTTTAGCCTCCACTTTGACTTGCATTGACTTGAATTGTATCAGCACCACATCCTTTTCAATGTAATTTGTGTTTAAGTTTTAAATTTTGGATGCATTTATGTATGAGTCAAATTTGTGTTTTCTGTTAGGTTGCTAATTCCCCAGAAAAACTTTCCACCCCCAAAATTTAATTTCATAATACATTTGTTCTCAATTTTATTCATTTTTCTATGTTTGCTTGATAGTGAGAAATATAAACCAGAATTGCAATTTAAAAATTACTATTGTGCTCTTGAGAATTCCAGCTATTAGTTTTCCAGGCTTGGAGTTGATATAACCCAAGATAATGCACAATGATCCTTCTATTAAGCAATATTCTATTTTCAGTAGAAAAGAAACCTAGCTATCCTCTTATATTTGGAAAGAAGGGAAGGGTAATTGTTTCCTTTCCAAAAAGGCACAAAGTTTATTTTTTAAAGTTCAAAACCAACAGATTAGTTCAACTGTCTTCCTTTATTTTATTATCCAGAACTTGTCCATACTTGTACATAAATTTTCCAGGGAACAAATAAGAATTGAGCTTTCAGATATGAAAAAGTAAGTCCTCTAAGCCTGAAATAGGAAGATGACTTTGGACTGATAGAACATGCAGCCTGATTGTTCATCAAACTGAAAGGAATCACTCAGAAAAAGTAGCCTACAAAGTAAACTGAAATCATTGTTTTTCACAAGGTCATGGAGCAGTTCAAAATGATACCATTACTCTTAATTCACTGGTCTTTTCCCATACCAATAATGCTCTCAAGTCATGATAGTACATAAGATAAATTTAATACCCATCTAGATAATCTAGCTTGAGAAATATCGACATTTCCAAAACACATCCAAGGTCACATAAAGGCCCTCATGGTCACTCTGGAAACTTCAACCTTTAAAACCCTCCTATGTTTCTCTAGGATACTGTCTCTGGCCAGTGGGTTATATAATTTCTTTTCAGATCAAAACTTCTTCCTGGATGTTTATAACTGAGTCAACTTTAAGTGTTCGATCTTCCCCAGAATCATAATGAAGTTTGACCTGATATTGAGGACTACTGATTTCATACAGAAATATCTGTTTGATCACACAATCAGTTAGGATTTTAGAAGTACAGGAATATTAAGGTAGAGATATCAAAGATATAAAACTTTGAAGGAAATACAAATGGTGAAACTGTACTCACAAGAGATACAAGTAGAAAATAATAGTGTACAAAATAAAAATATAATGAAAGTTATAATATGATAATTTGAGCAACATTAAAGTTTTGAAGTAACTGGGTTGCACAAGAATCTGTATGTGGTCTGCTAGAAAGGAAAACAGGTAGAACATAAGCTCCTGTCATTTTGGCTCTAGATGGTAGAAATATGAAAGAATGAAATAAAAACCGTAAGGAATAATTTGAAGTTCAGTTCAAGACTGATAGGACATACGTGTGTAAAAGTTTAAACAAATGATATGGTTATGCTATTGTGGACTTAGAAGATCTAGAGAGAAAATTTAGATTTTTAAAAATTTTATTGCCAGGAAGATATTTTAGACTACATAGAATGGCCCAAAAACAGTGCCAAAGGAAAGGAATAATTCTTTGGACTAATGATGCACCATTATATATATTGTGACTCTCTCTCCACTCCATACAAACACTATTGGTATGAAATAATTTTTGCAGATATGTATCAATATTTACTGATGTTTTCTTCAAAGCAAATTTCTCTGCCTACAAAAGAAGACATGGTTTTGGCTCTTGTTAAGGGAGCTACCTTTTTCTTTGTGACTGGACTTGGCTTTGTGGGGAACATGTTTGTTTTGGTGAATTACCTATTCATGTTTGAAGGCACGCAGAAGAAATCTATACACTTTATATTTATCCACTTGACTTTTACAAACATTATGATCCTTCTCTTAAAAGGAATACCAAAGACAATAGCCTTAGATATGGGAAACTTCTTTGATGAAATAGGCTGTAAGATCATTGTTTACTTCACAAGAATGGCTCGAGGACTTTCCATCTGCACCAGCAGTCTCCTCACCCTGGTCCAGGCCATCATCATCAGCCCCAGAGACTCTGTGTGGAGAAAGCTAAAGCTTCAATCTGGATGGCACATCCTTCTCCCATTGCTGTTCTTTTGGATTCTCAATTCCTTGATAAGCATGAACTTACTATTCCACATAAAAAATATCAGTAGGAACACATCACAAATTAGCAAACATGACAACTATTGCTATTTTGTACCAGACAACTTGATAATGAGATGGAGTTTTCTTACCCTCATGGTCTTGAGGGATGCTGTGTTTCAGGGTATCCTGGGTGTGGCCAGTGGCTACATGGTATTTCTCCTCCATAAGCACCACCAGCGTGTTCTCTACCTTCAGAACTCCAACTTTCTCTGCAAAACTCCCCCTGAAATGAAAGCTACTCAAAATGTTTTATTTCTGATGCTTTGTTTTCTTTTCTTTTATTGGACAGATTGTTTTCTTTCTTTATATCTAACTTTGTCTTTAGAGAATGAATCCACAACGCTGGCTGTTCAAGAATTTCTGTCCCTTGGTTATGCACTTTTCAGTCCCTTTGTACTCATTCCCAGAGGTGGACATCTGGCTGAGTGTTGGCAATCTCAATAAGAGAGAATAGCCACTGGGAAAGGATCCATTCCTCAGCTCTTATTAGTAGCATAGAGTTCAGTATTGTTTTAAAAGCATGGTATCAACATCTATTGATGTTATCTGTTCATATAAAGATTCAAGTATATTGACCAATCTAAGGAAATGTTCGAGATCTTGTAAAGGAATGGTCTAATTCAAAATATCTTGGTATATCATGATAGCTAAGATCTAGTTACAACTAATTTTAAAGTTATGCTAGATTAATTGTATTGATAAATGAAAGGTAATATTATGTTTAGAATTATGTTTGTTATATTAAGAAGCTCTATAAGAAAAGAAAAGAACAAAATAGTTCTTGTTTCTTGTGAGAGTAATTAGGTTGAAGAAGTCATAGCAAGGAGAAGTCAATCTTTTGCTCATATATTTTCTGATTTGTTATACAATGAAACACAAATTTAAACAACTAAATGAAACATTAACATTCAGTAAATCTGAGGCTTCCTTTATGATGTCTTTGTTAATGCTTTTATACTGACTAATAATCCAGTTTCTATTTTTCCATATCCACAAATCATTTGGATTCTTAACTGAAGTATTTATTTTCATAAACAGAACAAAGATTCTTATTTGTGTACAATGCATAGTTCTCACAGATCATTGTTTTAAACTTTTGTGGTGCTACTATACTTATGTATTCACAGTCCAAAATAGTGATAAATAAAATATTGATGGAGAAAGACTTTTACTTCATTATTAAACATTGAAGCAACTTTCCCATATTTACACTTGGTGATTTTTTTCCATAGAAGAGAGGTTGCTGGGGATTGAACTCATGACCTTGTATATACTACACACTGTACACTGTTCTACAACCTCAGTCTATCTACTATATTATCAGTTTTATGGATCTGTATATATTTATATTTTACTTCAGTAGCAACAATGGTTACTTATTTGATTATATCATGTCCATACAAATTTTCAGTAAATTATTAATGTTATTCTTTCATACTCTAGTATGTTTATCAATCTATTCTATTATAAAAATGTGACTTTCTTGAAAATGAGGATCATACTAAACAGATGGTTTTCCTGTGACAGATTATTCCTTCTATCTAGCAGAGAGAGTAAAATAAAATATGAGGCCTTAAGTAGGGCTACGGTAATTAACTCCAAAGAAGGAGTATAGAGTCCTAGAAATTATATAGAAATTGACATAGAAATGTTCGATAATAAAGATGACATGATTAAGCATGGAAAATATAAATTAAAAATTGAAAGAATGAAGACTGGGTGTGGTAGTCTTAACTTATAATTTCACTATAATTAAAACTTTTACACACATAACAGACTGGACAGAGAAGATATAATATGAAAATCAGTATACTCTCTCATGGTTAGTGGAACATCAGTTAGTATTAAGATAATTAGCTCTAATTAAGCTTGAACTATCTCCTTAGCCAATTATTCAAATGTAGTAATTATGTCCAGAAAGGGAAAGTTGTACTTTGTACTTCAGAGACTGAGATTCTGCAGAGGGTTTCTTTCTCCTGACAGGGAGACAACTGTGAACATTGAAGTCTTGGTGACACCTTATGATACTAAGAACTCTGCAACTTCTGAAAGTACAAATATGAGGCCTGGGGAGCCTGCCTTTAACAGAAAGATGAGCCCGCTTTGTCCGCACCACACTACCAAGGTGAGTAGACCTGATGCTAATTTAGCTTGCTCACAATTAGCAATTAGAAATGTAAAAGAGCTGTTTAGATTTCTAGGAAAATCTCAAGTCTTCTTCAGCTCCCATTTTCATATAGAGTATCACTATCACCATTATTAGCTTTCATAAAATTCCTTGTGACTAATTTTTAGCATGTTGCATGCTTCCAGTGGGCCATCTTTTGTGGGGTTTTTTTCTTCAATATAAAACTAAGGCATTAATGCATAACATTTGATTTGAAGGTGATATTCTGCATCCATTCTGAAAACCTTCCTGTCTTCACACACAATATTGTACTACACATGCATGTCAACTTAATTTTTTTATCCCATTTATTGGAAGCCCTATTCCTAGAAATGGTAATATAATATAATTTGTCTTCACAGACTTCAGTTACTTCCAGGCTGTTTGTTGGCTTGATTTTATTTGACTCACTTTATATTTAGCCCAGGATTTGTAGCAAGAGATACTGATCTCATATTTTCTTTAAGAAAAAGGGATCTGAGATGGAAGCACTCATGTGAACAACCTGTTATGGGTGGGAGAGGAGATCTAGATGGGGCATTATGCATCTATTTGAATGCAAAGCTTGTAATTTGAAATAGTTTCCTCTATACTGTTCCAAAAAGCAATATTGAACAATATTTACGTTTCACTCAGACAGAATGAAAGATTGATTTATTAGATGCTTCAGAAGGTTATTTCAAATCTGATTCAGAGCCATAGAATGTGGAGCATGTGAGAAAGGGCTAAAAATGCATTTCACTGGGAAACTACAAGAAAAACATAAGCAAAAAAATCTTTGACAAATGCAGCAAGTCATTGAGGAATAGAGATTGCAGTCATTTTAAGCAAGTCTAATAGCTGACAAACTATTTTAATGATTGGGTATTCCAGATTTAATATATAAAACTGCTGAACAGATTACTGAGTCTTGTAGTGTAAATCATTATATGGTAGTCAGAAGCCTGTAGTGCTTCCTTTAAGGTCTAAAGCCATGCATTCATTTCCCCATGTGTAAGAAAAGAAAGTGAATGTCTGGCATTAGTAAAAGATGTTCCTAGGATCATTGTGGTGTCTGGTTCAAACATTAGGTGCTATCTTATGTTTACATAATACATACTAACAGAGACATTCAAGACAAAATTAGGTAAGAGTTCCCTTCATATTTAGTACAACACACAGGAGAAAAGCTTATCAAATCCTGGAGACTGGATCCTAGTTTGCCTTATTTGAGAGAAACTGTCCATAATTTGTCATAAGCTATTAGATGAGATTTGAGAGCTGACTTCCTGGATGTGGAAAAGTGAATTTATCTAACCCTGAAGTCTGGAAATCAGCTTGAACTGGTAAAGATCAAAACAGTCCAATTATTTGCCCAGCTTGAGTAGGAAACAGGCACAAGTAAATTAAGAAATCATTATTTCAGGGGGCTGGGAAGGTGGCTCAGTGTTAGAGTGCTAGCCTTGCATGCCGGAGGGCCTGGGTTCGATTCCTCAGCACCACATATGCAAAAAGAAAAAAAGCTGCTGTGGCTCAAATGGTAGAGTGCTAGCTTTGAGCTGAAGAGCTGAGGGACAACGCCCACCCAGAGTTCGGGCCCCACAACTGGACCCCCCCAAAAAAAGAAATCATTATTTCACCCAAAGTCAAACAACAATGTGGGTCCTGTGGGCACCCTGGCTGACAGCAGGTCGTTAATAATATCACTTTTCATACCACACTTGTTCCTAGGTGTCTTAGGCATTAGCTTCTAATATTAGATTCTATCATGAGATAGAATGCAATAGGTTTAACATCATATTGAGGATTACAAAATGCCATGGAATATTTGTAAGCATTGAAATCACAGGAACTGGAGTTTACAAAGACATCTCAGAAAGTGATAGAATATGACAGTCAAAGATATCAAAGTATGAAATAGAGAAACAAACCTGTTATACTCACCAAAATGACAGAGGAAGGAATAGTATACAAAATAACAGACATGGGCTGGGAAGCTGGCTGAGTGATAGAGCGCTTGCTTGCATGCATGAAGCTCTGGGTTCCATTTTTCAGCACGACATAAGCAAAAAGTAAAAAGCCGGAAGTGGTGCTGTGGCTCAAGTGGTAGAGCGCTAGCCTTGAGCTGAAGAGCTGAGGGACAGCGCCCAGGCCCAGAGTTCAGGCTCCATGACCAGACACAAAAAAATAAATAATTAAAAATAAAAAACAATAACAAACATTATGGAAATCGAAATTGGACCAAGAATAAAAACACCTTGAAAAAGTATGCCTATATGAAGTTGGGGGAGGGCAGACACATTAAGCATAAGCCCCAAGCTTTTGAAATCATATTATGAAAATAATATGAAACACAATTAAAAATAGAGGGAGAAATTCTATTTGTGAGTATTTTGAGTTTAATGTAGCCATGGTAATAGTGAAAATGAGTTGGAAAAATGAAGATTCATTTTAAAAGTATGAATCCTTGGGCAAAAAAAAATCTAAACTGCAAATTTGGATGTGTGAATATTAGTAGTCCAAATGGTAATTGAGAATAATAAAAATAATTCACAAAGAGTTTGAAAGGGAAAACAATCATTTTTGTATAGAAAAAAATCATTTTGTATCAATAATACCTGAACAATTACACATATTATACTTGTCCCTTATACTCCAGAAAGGTACTAAGTTATGAAATACTTTCACAGGTTTATACCATCATTACTGATGATTTCTTTCAGACAGGTGTTTGTTGGATCCAACTTCTTCTGCTCATGACACAAGAAATGATGCTGAATTTTATCAGAGGAACTGTCTTCCTCTTTGTAACTGTACTTGGCACTGTGGGAAACATCATGGTTTTCTGGATTTTATATATAGATTTTGGAGAGGAGCTCAGAAGAATTCTACACACCATATTCTCATCCATTTGGCTTTTGCAAATACAATAATACTTCTTTCAAAAGGATTATCAAAGGCAATAGCAGCTTTTCCTTTGAGACACTTCCTGGATGATATAGTCTGTAAGATAGTTGTTTATCTGGAGAGGGTGGCCTGGGACTTTTCCATCTGCACCATCACTCTCCTCTCTGTGGTCCAGGCCATCACCATCAGTCCCAGAAGCTCTCTCTGCTGGAGATTCAAGCCGAAGACTCCAAGCAAAATTCTTCCCCTGTTTCTCTTCTTTTGGATCCTCATTTCCTTGAAAAGCATCAGCTTACTTCATTACATCACAAATGTCAGAGAAAACACATCAGAAGCTGCTAAAACTTTTCTTTTAGAAAAGTTCTTTTCAATCAGAAAGTGAGAAAGCCAA